CATACTTTTGATCAGAGAGATGGTGGAAATCATTCAAATGTTAATATGTTAAACTAGATAAGTGGTGGGTCCTGCAACCCGAGGGTGATGTGCATCCTGTTAGGGTTTTATGTTTACTGTTGCTCACACACAGGGTTGCCAGATTCTGCTGGTTTCCATCTGTGTCATTTTTTTCATACCGGTATAACTAAAGTGACATGCACGTATAGTGAGGTACATACCGATTGCACCCAGCATTGACTGTAAAAGCCACAAGCCCCTTTCGCATCCAACCAATGCTGCTATGGTTCACCAGAAGTTCTAAGTACGCAAGCACAACTGGTCAAACTGCCCTAACCCAAGAGACCATCTTGGTTACAACAATCTTGCAGCCCACTGAGATGAAAGAAGGCCACTCACATAGCCCATTCATTAGCCTAGGTTTTCCATCACTGATCTAGGTCATAGGTATGATATTTGTTGTGCAGGGAAACTGTTTCTCTGATCACAACTGATACTTACTTATCTCTTTATCTCTTTCTAGGTTCTGCCTGCTGGACATGAGGTGAAGCTGGGCATGACACTCCTTTTTGAACTTTTTCTTCTTCACGAGGCCAATACTTACATTGACCGCATTGTAGGATGGGGAGCTTTCCCTTTATGTGATAATAATTTCCGCACTTTGGAGGGGAAATTTAAATGCCCTTTTCTCAGAGGCCATTATGATTCCACATTTGACCGCTTCAAAAAAATTGAAAATTTGATTTCTTTGGATTTAGACCACTGGCTGTGCAACCTCTATTTTCAGGTTTGTGTTAAGAAGTCTTGGGCCTGCCTTATATCTCAGTTGCCCCCCTTCTGGATTTCAGTTTGCCTCAGACACATTTAAAGCCAGTGATATGTGTCTTTTATTGGTGTGAAGTTATTTGCAGCAGAAGAATTGAAGTACTTGAAATGTTAATTACTGTTTGCTTCAAATAAAATCATTTGATTATGGGATAGAAGAGGAAGCATACTATTCTGCTCATCTTTTTCTAGGCTTGGTCTTGCAGCATGTGTAGACATGTGAGTCATATCTTTGGTTTCAGTGAATGATGCAGGCCTCGGCCATTAAACATTTAAACACAACCATGGTATACTATAGTACTGATTACAGTACGATGATTGTATTGTAGGCTATATAATCTCTCCATGCTTGCAACAGTATGCTTTGTTAAGCAGATCTGAACTATGAGCTTGACTTTAATGGGAGTTTGTTCTTGAGAATACCCAATACCACAGCAAATTTTAAAGAGAGGATATAAAGTTTCTACCTACTTTATCCTCATTTTTGTTTCCAGAAATATTCATAAAAATAGATGGATTTTGAAACTAGCATGTTAGTTAGGCTCTTAGAAAGTCATGATATTTTGGTTCAATTGTGGCTGCCATTGTGTCTGAGTTTAAACTACACCCCTCTGTCAGCAGAGGGATGTAAAGTAGAGGTTTCGAAAGTGCAAATGAAGCGGGGATTTAAATATCCCACATTTCATTTGCATAATCATGTTCTGGTGCTGTTTTGAACAAGCGCCATTTCCAAACTGAAACTGTGGTTTAGACTCGGTTTTTCCAACAACAGGGAGATTTTTTGAAAGATCCTGTACTCCTCAGGATTTTTCAAAAAATTGCCCCGTTGTCAGAAAAATTGCATCTAAACCGCGGTTTCAGTTTCGAAATGGCGCTTTTTTGAAACTGCTCCAGAACATGATTATGTGAATGAAGCACGGGATATTTAAATCCCCACTTCATTTGCACTTTCAAAACATCTGATTTACATCCCTCTGCCGACGAGGGGTGTAGTTTAGACGGAGCCTGTTTGTGTACTTTTTTTTAAATCTGATCTTCCAAGGCATGTAGACTGCTTTCCAAAGCAGGACAGAAGTTTAGAAGAGATGCTATGGTTCCCACTTTGCTCTTGATGGCAAGATGTTATAAGGGTGGTGAGACCAAATTTGAGTGTCATTGTGTCCTGGTACACAGGGTTACAACACCATTCACATTTACTGCAGCTATAAAATGTGTGGTGCATATTAAAAATTGACATTTCACTATAAAATCATGGCCTGAAATTTTTGTACAGCGTTAGCTATTAGGAAATTGGGGTTATTTAATCAAAAGGTTAGCAATCTACTGTGAAATTTCTTTGCTATTATTTTTATGTGACCTTCTTTTTAGACCTTGCCCCACTTTCAGGCCCAAGCATGGTAAAGTGTAATGATAATAATTGTAATACAGTTCCCAGAATAAGAATTTATATTGAAGAAGTATCTTTGATAAGAAAAGAATGACAGACAGTGTTAGAAATATTAATATTAGTAGCATGATAATAACAAAATAGTGAAAACTATTGAATTTGACAAATCAGACAGATACTTGATCTTCTGAGCCAGAAGATCCTGAAGCTGAGAAGCCCTATTCATCCCGGGGATCCTTGATTTGCTGAATAGTCCTTAATTTAATGTGAGACTGGGCAACTGCTACTGTCTGTGACCTATGTTGAGATGAGACTGAGCTGGCCAGATCTATACTAGACCCAGAAGGTCAGCATAAGGCATGCAACTCCAGCTACATAATTAACATAGCTGGAGTCAACATACCTTAAACTGAGCTTGGCGCCATCTTCACAGTGGGAGGTCAATGGGAGCAAACTCGTGAATCAAGGAGTACTGGTGTCAGTTGGGGGTGATGTCAGCATTTGATTTATTGGGTCTTTAGTAGACCCACTAAATCAAATGCCAGTAGACCAATCTCCATTACTCCATTTTGAAAAAACTTGCCCTGCGTTTAGACTGCCGCCGCGTTCTTTCGAAATTAAATCAAAAGAACGCGGTGATTTTTTTGACGGTGGTAAACCTCATTTTATGAGGAATAATGCCTTTTTTTGAAAGTGCTCTTTTGAAAAAAGGGGTTCTTGAATGCAAACAGGGCTTCTTCAAAAGAGAGCATCCAGACTGCCTGGGTACTCTCTTTCGAAAAAGCGGATCGCTTTTTTTGAAAGAAGTGGTTACAGTCTAGATGCTTTCTTTTGAAAGAGGCTTTTTTGAAAGATATATTCGAAAAAGCCTCTTTTGAAGGAGGATTGTAGTCTAGACGTAGCCTACTATTCACATCTCTTTAGTTTTTACTGCAGGACAGTGTAGACAAGCCCAAAGAACATTATGCAAATAAAGATGTATTGATTTTGTGGAATGCTGAACCATTCCAATAACAGATTTCTCTTTTACTAGATTATTAAATTACCATGGTATTTAGATGAGCAGAAGACATATGAGACACGTGTCCATCTCCCACCTGAATGTCTTGCTTATTCAAACATTGTTAAGACAAATGGAGTTACAGACAAGGTAAAAATATCTGGACTACGAGATGATGGATTCAGAAGTTCATGTCTACTTCCAGGCACTCAGTCAAAATGCTCCTTAGCATCTTTTCAAGGTTGGTTAGGCATTAGTTTCCTTGCTAAATTAGTACCCCCCAGAAACCTTCCCTGTACGTAATATAGATCCATATATATTATAAGTGGCAGTATCTATTGTGGCTCAGGTGGCAGTGTGGGCTGACCCGTGGGTCTGAGTCCAGAGTCTCCACCAAAGTGGGCTGACCCGTGGGTCTGAGTCTCCACCAAAGCCAAAAGGTCCCTCCTAACATCTTTTGCACTCTTACTCAAGTAAATCTAACATGAGTCTGTCTACCTGAGGTGTCCAACATGAGGTCTTGCTCCCAGCTGCAGTGTCGACATACCCATTGAGTCTTCTGATGCAGCCTTACCCACCATAAGAACTTAAGTATAGCCATCCTGGTCAGCCCAGAGGTCCATCTAGCCCATTATCCTGTCTTCCAATATTGGCCAATGCCAGATGACCCAGCGGGAATGAACAGAACAGGCAATCATCAAGTGATTCCTCCCCTGATGTCTACTCCCAGATTCTGGCAAAAAAAGGCTAGAGATGCTCAGAGCATGGGGTTGCCTCCCTGATCATCCTGGCTAGTACCTATCGATAGATCAATCTTCCATGAATGTATCTAGTTCTTTTTTTGACCAGACACCCGACTTACCTGATGATGCCCCACCCAAATGGACCCTGCTCCTCCTCCATAAAGACAAGCATGAGCAGGGTTCCAGGGCACTCTGCTGACTTTTCTGGGTAAACATGTGAGAGGTGCTGCAGAGATCAAAGACCATCCTCTTCTTTTGGCATGCAGGCACTTCTGTGAGCTGCCCCAGTTAATTAGCCGGAGGCTGCAGCTCAACAGTAACTTTTTCTCCAAAGGTGTTTGGTTCTTGAACACAAAGTTACCTTAGTTGTTTGAGAACAGAAAAAGAATGTGTGGGAGGGTGGAAGACTTGGGTGGAGGAAAGGAAGGACATTGGGAGTCAGAAAAGATGACAATCTGCATATAAACTGGAGTCAACTTGTACAGAAGACTAAGGAAGCTTAGATTTGAAGTGTGAGGTGAAAAGAAGCCGGTAGAGGCATTTGAGGAGCTGCTGACATTGAACAATTGGAAAGGAAGAAGAGTTTTGCATTATAGCTGCCATCTATAATTATTGGGCCACTTTAAAGCCCAGCAGAACTTGTACTGTGGCCCCAATGGGGGTATGATATGGCCTGTGAGTGCTTAGACTTATATTAACTAGGGGAACAAGACCTTTTCACATATCACATATGCCATTGGCCAGACACTTTCCAGCTCAGAGGCATGCTCATGCATGGCATTTGGTTGTGGTATCCAAATGTACCCTTCCTCCAAGTAATTTATAGTTTAGCAAGAAAATATGGAGATTGGCAAACAATTAACAAAGATCATCCCCACCGTTATTATTTCTAAATCTCATATTATGTATACACACTGAAAAAAAATTTCAAGTGGCCAGGGACTATTGCCAAAAATTCACAGAATTTGTCACCAGCATATAAAAAAAGTTTTGAAGGATCTAAATTTTGAGAACCACAGAGTAACATTAGTGGATATGCTATTCTATAGGTAGCTCCTTGAAGCAGGCTGATAAACAGATCCTGGGAAATCTGTATTCCCCAGCCTGTGTAGATTTACACAACCAGAATGTCTAGGAATAATTTTCTACATTGTTTATATTTATTTATTTTTTCTTGGAGCCTTCTTTAAAGATATTATTAGCTGTTAATAACCCCCATGGGTTTGTTTTCTAAAGTATCTGTGTAGTGCTACAGTATGCTGTTTCTGCTGGTGATATGTTGCTAAGAGATTTAATAATGGGTAAACAAACACAACATGTGGTAATCCATTTCAAATTAAAAGTTTATTAAATGCTAGCTTGATGACTTTCTGGCTATTTACAATTAAAGGCACAAACCTTAGGGAACTGGAGATCACATGGTGAAAATCAAGACTCCAACATTTCCAACAGAAAAATGTGTTTATGATCTGCAGCAAGCTGTCGCACATTGATATGCTCTATAAATACTGTATTATATCAGTTAAACTGCAAAAAGCTATGTTCAAGTGACATTAAGGTTGAGACACAAGCCAGAGAAAGTGAGCACATTCTCAGTTGAAGACTGATGCTCTGACTTTAACCCACTCCACTGTGGTAGTCTAAATAGTGAGTGATCTTGCATATCTGCACCATATGTGTTGCTGCAATATATAAACAAAACAGAGCAGGTTAAGAGAAGGCATTTTAACCTTAACTCTGATTTCTTTGTTGCTTGAAAGTAAAGTCAAAACCCTTCACATCATTGCCACTAGCTGAGGGCTACATTATGCTTATGTTAAGCACAATCATGTATTGAAGTTTGTGCATGGGGGAGCTCAAATGGAGGTTGTACTTTGAGGAATTGTGGTTCTTCCCAGAGCTCCTGTGGCAGAAACCTAATTGGACCTATGAGTCCCAAGAAAGCTGGCACTGTATGATTTATGAAATGCAAACCACACCAGTGTTTGCTCATGTTGAGATTTTTGACTTTTGTTTTTTTTCATAGTGGTGTGGCTTGTCATCAAATCTATTGTTTTCCCCCTCTAAACAATCATCTCCATTTTAAAATAGCGTGAAATGCCTGTATGATAAAGAACAGTGTTCATCATTTTGAAATCATCATTTGTTTGGATTTTGTGGCTCCCATGAAACCCTGTAATATCTGATTTATAATCCATAAGGAACACATCATTTTCCAAGTTCCAACAGTATGAATGCAGGCTTGAGCCTCATCTAGCCCATGTTTGGAATGTGAATATGTTAGCCAGTTCAAAGGGATTCATTCATAGTGGTGCAACACTCAGCAGTTTCAGATCACTACATTTGGGGGAATTATTTGTAGTGTTCACACCCTTATAGAGCTCATGGTGTCTCAGACAGGGGTATTTCTTTGAGTTTAGAATGGGGTTGAAACCCAGAACTCAAACTCCCCTGAAAATACTATCTTGTGTTTTCTAACCAGAACCATAAGCCAGGCCACACTTTGGAAAGCCAGTTCAGGTCTGGTAAAAATGACATTAAGATTTATGAACATTGTGGTGAACTTGAGTTGCATTTTTGGTTCATAACAAAATGTCATGATAAATCTGATCCAAACCCAGTTGTGTCCGTATTATGGAAAGACTTCCACTGATCTTTGTAGTCATTGGACAACCCAACTCCCCACATCCATGGAAGTTCAATGAAGCTCTACTAGCTATCTATATATTTTTTTTCTTTACCAAAAGTACACTTCTTTTCTTAAAATGCCAGATTGAAAAAAAAATCCCACAAAATCCTTTTGAAACTGTTTTAAAGCCACCTGTTTTCATCACTGTGCAATGAAGACATTGCTAGCTCATTTTTCTAACTCATTTGAAAAGCCCACTATCAGGCTTGGCAGTTTGTGCGCCACATCTATCAACTGGATAAAAGTTGAAACAGCTGAGATGGTTTTGAATTTCCCACACTGTGGTTTACAATGGGAAAATATGTTCAGCTGAGGTTCCATTTTCATGTATGCCATTTGTCATTTAATTTTATAACATAGAGAGCTTTTCAGTCTTTCTTTCCTCTGCCTCCTTCCTTGGCTGTCGAAGATCACATAAGTTTGCACCACTTAGCATTAGTAAATAATTGTTGAAACTCCCTGCGATTGTAAAGTTTTAAAGAGTTGCGCAGGTCTTTAATTGTAAATTACTTTTGACAGGACTGTTATGCAAAGACCTGGCTCATCCCAAAGTGATGCTAGCTGACAACCCCTTACTGCTCCCTGGGCAAAGAAACATGTGGAAGGAATTGTTCTTTTACATTTCACAGCTTGTCATTTCCTCTGCAGGGCAACCTTTGACCTCTTGGAGAGATCCTGACACCCATAAGGGAAGTATTCCCACTGTTGTAAAGGAAGTGGAAAAGCAGTTTAATGCTGTGAAAGGAAGGGAAAAGTGTGTGTCAAAAGAAACTGGGAGCAGAGAAGAGCTTAAAATGTTTCCATCAGGTTAGACTTTTCTGTTCCATTATTTAATTTACTAAAAGTTTGGAAACAGATCTGCTTACTTTTGTTTAAAAAATCCCTCAAAACTCTCAATGATATCACCTCTCAATTATTTCACCAGTCATAGGAGGCAAGGGAAGAGTTTAAATTAAAAGTGAAAGATCAAAAGAAGGCTCAACAAAAAAGTACAAATGTGGTTTGCTGCTCTGTTTAAAATATATCAGTAGGCCAAATGTGTTAGTAATTACAAGGTGTGTGTGGAGTTCACTGACAACATCTGATTATGTTGAGTGTTTCTGTGACATTTTTACATCCTTTCATTTTATTTGGTCATTTATATTCATGGATCACAATGTTCTTTTTTCTCTTCTGCACCAGTAGTCCTGTTAATGCTCCCTTGTTCACTGAGCAGAATAAACATAAATGTGTGTGCACTGTCCATAGTGGGCAGTGTTTTTCATTGAGATGGAGGACTACCCATGAAGGCAAGGAAGTTTTGTGCCACATTATCACATTTTATTTCAAGTAAAAAATCATTCGTGGGAAGGTGGGATGTAAACTCCAAGGGCCCAATGCTGAACTCTGATTCTACTATTATGACCATAGCAGAAGTGTCAACATTAGTAGATGGAATATGTAGTAGAGCTGGCCTTTGGTTCCTGCCCTTCATCTGCAGTTGCACCCTGTCCTCTGCCTGTCATTTCTGCTAATAGAAATGAAATAGAGCCTCCACTTTTATTTTCAAAAAAGTATAATTCTAGATCTTTTCCTTGCAATCATGGCCTTAAAAATGTAATCAGATATAAACAAATCACTAGAGTTGAAAGGAACAAGCAACTGAGAACCACTTCCACAGCAGAAAGCTGGACTTTGGAAAGAAGAACTTACACATATATGCTCTTTTTGTGTGACTATGGCAGTCATTTGGGGGAGGGGGGAGCAACCAAAAGAATTTAATTCACACATCTTCCTCCAAATCTTCAGGCTGGCCCCATGGATAGTATTAAGATAACTGTGCACAGGAACCAGGATTTGTAGGGATGACTGGTAATGCTTAATTTGTAGAGAAGTTGGTGCACAGGCTCAACCAATTATTTTACTTTCAAAATGGATGTGGCAAGCCCTGAGGTGCGGGGGCCATGCTCCTCTAAGCCTAGAGGTGCCGGGGCTCAGCCCTGGCAAACTCTGGCACAAATGAAGCACTAATGGTTGGCAAAAAAACACTTCCATGGACCTGTCCGAAAACATGAGAGGTGGTGCTATTGATTTCATTGAATTCAATCAGGATCCTTACCCAGAGTCCGGAACATTTGACATCTGTGGTGGTTTTGTCCAGGATGTTGCAGCATAAAACCACTGGCCAGGTGTCAGTGCTTTAATGCTTTTCAAGACTGAGGGGAAACATGTTGGCTTATCTCTATGTCTCTGTGCTGTGAAGACAGATACCTGGCAGAACAGGAGAGAAGTAACTATTGAATGCTTCACCTTTAGCTCATAGATGAGCTTTGTGTAAGTCCATTTACAATAACAAAACTGCAGAATGACTGGCCTTCTGAACTTAGGAGATGATCTCCAAGCACAAATTCTAGCTGGTTTTGAGGAGAAGTCAAAGGGGAGAGTTGATAAAGTCTAGGTAAACTGTGACTCCACAGAAGTCAGTGGCAGTTCTGTATTGATTTCAGTGGGGCTAGAATTTCATACTAGGTCTTTATGGCAGTGTCACTCTCATTTTTGTACATGGCTTGTACACATATATTAAAAATTCAGCATCTTTCAATTGTTACAACACTGTAATATCTGGAATACCATTATCACAGATGTTATCCAGTGTACTGAAAATAGATGTTCAGCTGTGTGAAATGATGGGAGGATAGGGGTTCTATAGATAGGTAGATATACAGCTTGACCTAAGATAGTACATTTTAGGAATGGGCTAATGGTTGATACACTGAGTATTTAATGATAACCCTGCAGGAAAGTTAAAAATAGAACACAGAGCCAGCAGACAATTCATTTTTAATGAACAATTGGAATTCTTTTAGTGAAAGATTGCCATTGAAATTGTAGGCACCTTAATCCATATATAAAAGCTAGTTAGGCATCCTGATTTTAAAAGGCACTAAGCTCCAGCTGCTTTATCTGGAGAAGGGCAGGCCCAAAGGAAATTTTATTTCAGTCATTTTGGCTCATACCAACCTTTGACTAATGTAAATCAGCATAGCTTTATTGTCTTCAGTGGAGCTACTTTGATTTATATCAGCTGAGTAACTGGCTCAGTATTTCCTTCAATGACAGAAAATAACATAGCAAGACTGAACGGGTTTAAAAAGATCTTGTAAACCAGAGAGTCTATACTTGATCTAGCAGATTTTCCAAAAACATGCCTAGATTTGAATATGATATGGCTTATCTTTATTCACAAGATAACAGAAGCTTTCTCTGATTATCTTAATTGCTGTAATTCGTTAAATCTATTATGGGGTAATTTAATGCAAAGCTTATATCAGTTTCACAAGGCATGTCACCATCACACAGATTTTTTATGATGGAGCTTTGTGAGAATGGGCTAACCAAATTATCTGTATTCAGGACTGAATGAGAAAATAAACTTCATTTAAAACCACTAATGATTTCCACCGAATTATGTAGGAACCAGAAATTATCCTGTAACTGATGCTTAATTTGGAGCTCTAAAGGTGCCTGTTTTCATCACCTCCTCAGAGAGCAAACAATTCCCCAATTGCCATGACGACTACACCCTATTTTCTTTTTCAAAGCCACCAGTTACCTGTATGGTACAGTCAAAATCCTCAGTAGCAGACAACATAGTTATGTAAGTTGACCTTTAATACATAGCCTGTTTCTTTTTTTCATTGTTGAGCTCTAACATAGACCAACTCTTCTGCCTCTCTCTGACCTTCCTGTGACATGGCTCCTATAATTCCTATATTTAGCTGCTCTGGTTCTGACTTCTCTACAGCTTGTAGATACTGGTTTTTAACTCATATTAATCAAACATACCTGCTTCAACTTAATTTATATCCTATGAAACCCTCGGAACATTATCCAACTATATGTAAGGCTTGACTGAGAGTGCAGTGGTTTCAATAGGAATATTCCCATTAACTGCAGAGGACAGTGGATAATACCTTTAAGTGACATCCGAATGATGTTTGGTGTCAGAAAGGGCCACCACATAAGAGTCAAGCAAAGATGGGATGCAAAAGCCAATCTGCAAATTATTGCACTAATTAAATCTCATCTGTGTGTTCAGGAGAAGGTATTAGAAAAAGTCACTTTAGGAAGGCCACACTCCTTCTCTGCCCTCACATCTCCAAAACCAACAGACCAGTCTGGTCCCACAACCTCTTTGTTATTTCAGTCAAAAATCAGTTGCTTGGTTGGTTTAAAAATTGATATTTGCAAGAGCGGCAACAGTTTCTGTTGGAGAGATGACATCTTCACAGTGGACTTCTGAAGCAGCGGTGAAAAGTGGGCCTTCATCATAGAATTCTTCACTATACTGCTGCTGCGATATTTTGGCTTTTTACGTGCTACTTGCTTCTGTTTTACTGTTACATTCTGGTGTCAAAGTAATTACCTGGAAGCAACGACAAAACCAACAAGCTACTTCCACTAATATTTCCTTGCAGGTATCATTTTAAAAGGGAATAAAGTGACACTTTTGAGTTGAAGAATATTTTCCCTTCTTTCTTTGTAGCTAGTGTTTCAAAAGACTAAACCAAGCCTTTTCCTTCTTTTTCTCTCCCACTGTACTCCTTGGCTGTGTCTACACTGGCACCCTTTTCTGTAAAAGGGATGCTAATGAGACACTTCGGAATTGCAAATGCCGCGGGGGATTTAAATATCCCCCGCAGCATTTGCATGAACATGGCTGCCGCTTTTTTCCGGCTCGGGGTTTTGCCGGAGAAAAGCGCCAGTCTAGACGGGATCTTGCGGAAAATAAGCCCTTTTCTGGAAGATCCCTTATTCCTACTAACATTATCCCTTTCAAGTAGGAATAAGGGATCTTCCGGAAAAGGGCTTATTTTCCGCAAGATCCCGTCTAGACTGGCGCTTTTCTCCGGCAAAACCCCGAGCCGGAAAAAAGCGGCAGCCATGTTCATGCAAATGCCGCGGGGGATATTTAAATCCCCCGCGGCATTTGCAATTCTGAAGTGTCTCATTAGCATCCCTTTTCCGGAAAAGGGTGCCAGTGTAGACACAGCCTTTGTGTGTTTGAGATTGGATTAATTCATATAAACGGGAGCAAATTTTGCTCACACTAACAATTTACAATAATAAGTGAAATTCCTCTGTTTTTATATGCTTACAATCCCATTCATTTCTCTCATTGGATTGTAGAAGCCATGTTTAGTCTATATTGAATGTTCTGTTCTATTTTTCATGTAGGGTACATCTACACTGCACATCTTCATAAGCCACCAAATATTTTTTAAATAATGGGCATGCTATTTTGGCATCCCAGTACCCCTCATAGCCTATTTCAAAATTCAATCAAAATAAGATACACGATTTGCATTGCACAAATTGCATATCTTATTTCGAATTTAGGGTGCTGTGTAGACGCACCCATAGTGACTTATCCTAGATATCCATTTTCATGTCTTTTGTCCGACTCCTGGGTGTCATGTTTCTCAAATGCATATCTCCAGAATTGAAAGAACAGTTGTGGAAACCAGAAGATGCTGGGACCGATCCTTTTCTGACTCATACCAGTTAAATCAGGAGTAATGCTATTAAAAAGTCAGGACATAAAACTGGTGTAAAACGAGTATAAGCAAAATTAGAATTAGGTCATATGTAGAGCTGGGCAAAACTTTTTGCATAGAACTTTTTTTAAAGTGAAATATGCAAATTCAATGATAGCAAACCCCTTTTCAAATTCATGTTGATTTTGTTGAATTGTTTGATTAAAAAGAAATCTACAGAAATCAGAAAATTTTTTTGCATTCCGAAACAGAACATTTTGATTTTTTGTTTCAAAATAACGGGTTCAAATCATCCTCTACTTTTATTTTTAAAAATTAAAAAATGTTTAAAAATGCTCAGAATCTCAACAAAATGTCTGTATAAACTGAAGAAAGCCAAA